TAAATTTAAATTGCGCTTAATATGAACTGAAAGTATGGATTTTTATCGATAGCTTCTTATCGGAATGAGTTACGGAACAAAAAGGTATGCTCATACTCCGTATGGTAGTATGTAACGAATGATGAAACTGACGGACGGATAAACCAGAAGTTAGGAGTAAGAACGGGTAAAAGAACTAACGTAAGAAAGAGACAGACAGACGGGTAGAAGAACAGACGGCAGTACGACTAATGGAACAGACGGACTGACGAGCGTACAAACAGGACGGACAAAAAATATAAGATGGACGAACGATCAGTCGGACCGACCAGCGGACGAACAGACGGACTGAAAAAAAAACAGACGGACGGACGACCAGACGAACAGACGGACCTACAGGCAAAAGAAGAGACGGACGGATAAACAAACGAACAGACTGACGGACAAGTGTACAAAGAGACGGACGGACGGGCAAAAGAATAGACGGGCGAATGATCAAAAGAACAGACGGACGGACGGGCAAAAGAACAGACGGACGGACGAGCGCTCACATTGACGAACGGACAAGTGAACGAAGAGACGGACAAACTTGCACCCAGACGTAACTACACCGCCTCAGCACGTAGTCCTGATCAAGAATCATATTATTTCCATTCCTCTGCCTGTTACATACATTTTCACAAACTCAATATACCCCGAGCTTCCACTTTCAGTGGGCATGGCGCACAAAAAAACACAAACGGTTGAGTAAACACTTGAAGTCATGCGTAAGCTACAGACAAACAGAATTGCAACTGAAGTCGACTCGAGTGCATCAGAGTATTTATTAAGCAAAGATGCGTGAAAGAGACAGCAACTGAAGCTATGAAATGACAGCTGCACAGGTGTGCAACGGAGCCCAATTGAGATTTGAGCTGAAGCCAATTTGGCATTGACAATCATATGGCTAATGCCGAATGTTGACGTCGGACTAATGACCATGTTGTTGTCTTATAACTGTTGTTGTCCAATAACTGTTGTTGTCCAATAACTGTTGTTGTCTCAGTCGTACACTCTCTGTCTGCAGGTCTCTTCATTCACTCTCACTCTCTCTCTCTCTCTCAGTCAGTCAGTTTATTTGCTCAACAATTTTAAAATCAATTAAACGTACTAATTCGCCAGCCTGTATAACATGGCCTAAGGCAAACACCTGTGGACCATGACAAACACACACAAACACACACATGCACATACACTATAGCTGTAACTGTAACACGCACAGTCCACATTCGGTAGCACATTTATTTATAGTAAATTGCGGCCATAGATGACCCCCAACGATGAGCTCCCGTTCGCCTATTCAATTGTTGAGCTATCCTAGCCCTTTCCTGACTCTGGCCCTGACCCTGGCTCTGGCCCATAGCCGTAGCCGTGGCCTACCGTAATTTGTATCTATTTTATACAGAGACACAGTTTTGGGATTTGCACTTTATTGCTACGGTCATTTCGATTTTCGAAACCCATCCGAAACTAATCAAATTTCTAGCTATTTATTTATTCATTCGTACGCCGTGCGCTGCACAGTGGGTGCAAAACCCACAGAAATGCACATAAATCTTTATGTGAGTACACACGCACACAGAGAGAGAGAGAGAGAGAGAGAGAGAGAGAAAGAGCGAGAGACACAGACAACGAATTTTCTTTAATGTAATTCCCCAATTGATTGCCCAGCCCAGCAGCTCAATGAACAGCATCAGAGCCGTTGAGCCGGAGCCCAGGTGCTGTGCGGGGGCAACAAATTTAGCATATTGCTCATACGACCCGTTGTATCCGCTCATAAATTGAATTCCGGTTTATTTGTTTGGCGAATAAATAAAAGTCGAATTCGTTGTGGCTGCTGCTATCAGCTGCAGACAGCAGCTCCAAGTGTTTCAAATGTCAGCTGAAGACTGAAATATCTGAAATATAAATATATGTATATGTGTATATATATGAAATTTACAGTTAATTGCATTTGAGCTTACTAAGGCTCTGGGCCGAATCATGCGGCTTCACTTGAAACTTTCCTAAACAGAGCAACGGACAGCTTATTGAATTGCATAGCAAAGCGTAAAATAAATTTCATCAAAATGCTTTCTCCAACTGTGCGGAGGGGAGTGGAAGTGGGAGAGGCAGATGCTGATGCTGATTCTTGTCGAGCACCGCCCAGGAGGCGCAAGACAAATTGCTTGGACCAGGACATTAAGAACTGGCAACTTGGCAGCAATCTGTCAACACTTTCGAGGGCGCCCGCCAGGTGCACCGAATGCCCTTCAGCTACGTAATTATTTATATTCCCACCACCCGACTGCCGCACCGCACCGCCCGCACTCAGCCCCTCGACCGCAAAAACGGCAGCAGCGGAGCACGAAATGCGAAAATACTTTAAAAAGCAATTAGTCAACAAAGTTTGTAGGCCCAAACCGGGTGACTTGCATTTTTAAGCAGCCCGCAAAGAGCACGAATAAAGCAGCTGAAGAAAACGAGAAAAAGAGAATTACAAAAATACTCAACAGCAAAATATGACCAGCAGAATCTAATTAAAATAATGATAGAGAAACAACAAAACAAAAGCTGCCCAACTACAAAGAACCAGCAATGCCTGCTGAAGGTGCTTCAGCTTAGTGGTCCAAAGCTCTGTGTAATTAGAGCAGTACGGGCATACTGCAAATAGCTGTAATGTGCTCTTAAACGAAACTGTATTTCTGCTATGGTATTATTTCTATACAACATAATTGTATCATATTTTAATACATGCATATGTATTTATTCTAAAACTTTTTAAATAACAAGAAAATTAAAACAGAAAAAAAGCAATAATTTAAATACTTGATGAGCTCTGCTACGCGTCCTGCTGCCTGTTACTTACAATAAAAAATAAATAAATTCATAAACCAATTTTCAATATTCATGCTTAAAATCAAAAACAAAAAAACAAAAAATTTTTA